TTTCCTGGTCAGATTCCTTCAGTTCCTGTCTTCCCTTGAGGTTTGGAGTCTGTTTGAAGGACACTTGTGAAAAGTGAAATTGTCAAACCATGTTGTGAAAGAATATGTGTGTGTGTGTGAGGGGTACCCTTGGTGAGCTTCAAAAACTTGAGATTTTGATAGAGTTTTAATAAGGGAAACTGAAGGAATTGTGCTAGAGAGTTTTCTTGAAGAAAACAAAATTATCCTATGTCCTGATGTTTCAGTTTTTAAAGTGTTTATCTAATTCATTCTCTTTCATTCATCATTTTTGGTTGGTAATGTGGAGTAGATAGAATATTGGAAAAATTCAATCCAATGAAAAACTGGTCATGCTTCTGGACTGGTTCATATTCTATCTACTCCAGGATGGTTGCGGATGTGGCTGGTTCCTGCTCCAAAAATATTTTTTCTTTAAGTTTTTGGATTGGAAATCTGAGAAAATGAAGAAAGTTTGACAGGAAACTCTTGCCCTAGTATCTTTTGCTTATGCCGTTCCGCTGGGTTACCATTTCACAGATACACTTGCTTATACCATTGTCACCCCTTCTCACGTCCTTGTCATGTCCTGTTCATGTCCCTTCATGTCCTTCTCACTTTTTAGCCGGTCCATGTCCTCTCCATGTCTATTCAAGTCCCTGTGATGTCCTTGTCATGTCCTGTTCATTTCCGTTTCACTTCTACCCCTGTCATTCCTCCTGCATTTCGCAGTACATAGAATATGGGACGAGTTCGATTTGCAGAGCAAGATTTGGCAAGATGTTCAAGAAGAGTTTGCCACGACGGCGCAGCCACTCTGGCTAGAAGTGCTGACCTTAAGCGATTGTACCTAGCTGCTATGGCTGAGGGCATCCTGGAAAGGGTTCTGGATGCTTCAAAGCATGGTGACTTGTACGGAGTCTTAGGAGTGAGCCCACTCATCGGAGACCTGATGTTGAACCGAGTGCCTGTTTGCAGCGCTTCTTGGTAGTGCGAGTGCAACCACTGGAGGTGACTCGATCTTGAGGATCCACCCAGCACAGTCTCAAAACCTTTTTTTTTCCCCAACATTCCGGTGACGGGGGCGGGGGTTAACTTTCTAGACCCGCGTATAAATGTTCCAATAGCTGTGCAATATTCTATCTATTTTTCTCTCTAACGTTTTTTTCCCTTTTGGAACATGCACCCAAGGCTGTTAAGGCTGCCTATAAGCACACTTGCAAGCATGTCCACCCGGATAAATTTCAACATGCAGAGGCCCATCGAGCTCAGCAGGTGGTAAACGACGCCTGGACGAAGCTGTCAAACCCAGTCTTCAAATCGGACTATGACAGGATGTTCAGGGACAAGCTCGTGAACATCCAGAAGAAGGCTAGCAAAGTGGCTGCGAAAAAGAAGGTCATGGCCACCATCCAGAAGAGTCAGAACAACCATCTGGCTCAATCCAAAGCTCAACCCAAGAAGAAGGCCAAACAGGTTGAGAAGCCAGATGAAAAGAACACAGCGGCAGAGAAAGCCACTGAGGAGCCCAGCGTGCAGCCTTCCAAATCAGAGGAAGACAACAAGACATGGCAGGTGAGCGGCTACACCCTTCGCAAGCAGAAAACCTGCATCTCGGTGAAGCTTGCGTATTGGCTCACCAGAAAGTTCAACTTTTCAGAATGGCACGATGAAACCATTGCCACCCAGATTGCTGAGGAGTTTGCGAAACAAGTGCTCAAGATGTTGATACGGTTTGACTACTTGAGCACAAAAAAGGACAAAATGGCCTTCCTAGAGGAGAATGGCTTGCCTGCGATGCCCAGCAAGACGACTATTGCCCAACTGCGTGATGATTTGGAGAAGGCCGGGAAGCGAAGCACCTTTTCTTCTTAAGGGAACCACACCTATGACACTTTTAAAGTAAGTCATAATCACACCCTGCTTGCTGTCAAAAGTACATGGAATATCTTGGAATATCCTGTGCGAGCTAGTGCGGGGTAGGGCCTGTGTGAGGGGTACCCTTGTGAGCTTCAAAACCTAAAGATGTTGATAGAGTTTGAATAAGGGAAAATGAAGAATTGTGCTAGAGAGATTTCTTGGGAGTGTGGACAAAAATGTTGCCTGGCAGAGCATTGGTGTAGTTAGTGTAGTTTGTCCTTTGGCAACCGGTGACTCATGACTGACTGACTGACTCACTGACTAGCTCGAGGTGGGGTTGATTAATAAGTTAATAAGGGGAGGTTCCTTATTATTCCTATGTCAACATCAAACACGTCTTATCTCTGACTTTCTGGTTCTCTGAGACCTTGAGTCCTGTCCTTGAGAAACACATAGATAGAATCTCAATACAGGCGTTTGGGGTTGAAGCGAGTCTGAGAACGTCCAATGGATCGTGTGAGAGACATTCCTTTCTTCTTGGGTGGTGGTATCCGATTCAAATTCAGGAAAGGCACCCGGTAGCAGCCTATAGCAAACTTTCCTCACTTTCCTCTGCTGGGGAGAAACCTTAGGACAAAAACCTTCAAAAACATAGACCGTGCTTGTTGTTGGACATACTTAGAATATGCTGCGCGACCTTCAAAACTCTATGCCTCCGATATCCCCAACATTCAGGTTGAACCTTGAGAAACAAATAGATGGAATATAGGGTTTGGTACATTTTTGTTTTGAGCATCAGGTCATGGCAGCTGGAAAATTCAAACTCATTGAGGATCACCTGCGGTCTACATTCAGAAAGGCTATCGGAGCAACCACTGTCGGTGAAGCTTCAGAGCCATCACAAGGTATCACCTTTAACAAGGCGAAAGGTGTCTTCCAGGCTTGTGTCAAGCTCTCGGACCAATCTTTTGTGAAAGAGTTTAAGCTGAAGGAAGACGCTCAACACTGGGTAGATTTGCTCACATCTTTAGACAACAAGAAGCTTTTGAAGGGGCATTTTTCTACAATGAAAGAGGCGGCTGCCACCAGAAAAGCCACGCAGGAGGCATACGAGAAGATTATGTCCTCCAAACAAGTGTTCACTCCAGAGAGCTCTAAAGCTTGGCAGCGGACTTCCTCTGAAGGAAAGGATGTGTGGAATTCTATGTTCAGCAAATATGCTGCAAAAGAGGCAACATTGCCAGGCGCATTTGTCCGACTACCACAAAACTCCATGGACAAACTCAAAGAGCTTGGGTTCGATCATGAGATCTTCGGAGAACTGTTTGGATGGAAGCACAAATCTCTGGGCTGGCGAGCGACAAACATACTCACACACACAGGAGATGCAGAAGACATTTTCAGCAACGAAACTCAAGCAGGCATGAACTTGAGTCATTTGGGCTTCATTAGATGCAAACCAGTTGATCAGCCACCCGACTTGCTGGAAGACGACAAAGCCAAGATTGTTCGACACCTGGAGCACCAGCCTAAAATATTGGTCATCATCGTGACATACCCAATCAAGGTTGGAACTGCACGAGCATGGGAAGCTCAAACATCATCTACTGGACTGAAGCTGGATGAAGTTGAAGTTGAGTACATATCCAGACGTGTCCAGGGTGAGCAATTCCTGGTGACTGCTTTGCAGCCAAATGCCAAGATTCCTTTGGGTGACCTGATGACCCGCTGCTTTGAAAAGCACCTGCTTGAGAATTCCGGCTCTGAACCGTCTCCTTTGTCCAGCTTCAAGAGGATCCCAGTTCTGGGAGATGGACTGTGCTTTTGGCATTGCATTCTGAGATCTACACTTCCTCGAACCTACAATGTGCCTAGAACGCCTTCTGGCGCACCAAGGTCTTCTGAACACCTTGCAAAGGAAATTGATCTTGCAAAAGCAACTCGCCAGGAGTTTCTG